CTTTTTTGCATGTGATGTTTTGCCGAGGCACGCATGTGTGGTTATTGGTTGTTTCTTTTGTCTTCAATCCGATTTTGATGAGGTGTTCATTGGCGACACGGATCAGCCTTGATACGGAAAAAGGATGGATTATGCGCTATTGCTTAAAAATTACACCATAAATTAAATTTTAAAAATATTAAATGGATAAAATAACATCATATTCAGATTGCACGCATCACTATTGATTAAAATTACATCATTAAATAGAATTTTAAAAATTCAAATAGGTAAAATAACATCATATTCAGATTCTACACATTTTTCTAATCAAATTTCATATATAACAATTTAAAATTACAGTTAGGGTTTAACAGGTATCATTTCTTAAAGCATTTGTCACTTATAGTTGAACTGTTGATTAATTAATAAAAATGACAGGGGTTTTCGTTAAAAAATATGGAAAACGATTCCTTTTTTACTTAAGTCCGGACTACGGGTTTATTTCACGTAAACAAGAGGGGGTTTCCAAAAAATAAAAAATGATTTGTTTTATCACTTATGTTTGGACTGCGGGTTGATTTTGGGAAAACATAAGGGGGTTTTCGTAAAATGATCAATGGACGGGCATAAGCACTAGTCGCTTTATTATTAGGTAGAGATAATATGTTTTATTCAGAAGCTGGAAAGATGGTTGTGGTGTGGATGCCAAAACAAATACTAGATTATGTCAGATTCAGACATGATACCTGAATGGAACATGTTCGATTTATTCAAAACATTCATATAGCACACTCATACACGAGGAATATATACATACTCCAAATTAAAATTATATATAAACAATAAGCAATCATTAATACTTTATAAATCTAAGCAGGCATAAAGCTATAGTAATCCAAATAGACCACTAACAAGCACATTTTTCATCTCATAGGCAAAAAGAACATTTATATAGTGCTAGTTAATTAATACTTAGAAGGACATAATATCTGGCCAGGACAAATTATCCTACATCATCGTATATTTGTAGTACTAGTATATCCTATATCGCATCCTATCGACCAGATTGTGATTCAAATTGGATTGTTTTCAGATGTAGAAAATCTCTTATCATATTTGATACCACTAGATTCAGAAATGTTTTTGGTCTAAAATTATCGTTACTGTTTCTCCCTCAAGAGGAAGTACGAGTGCATGGAAAATCTTGTTCGCCTAACCAATACATTGCCTCATGCTTCCGCGAAAACAAAGCCCCGAGTGGATTTTCATCCTCCCATGAAACATGGGAGCGATGGTGCTCCCCCCCACCGCCCGGATCCCACACATGAATAGAAAGTTAGATCTGCATGGCATCTCAACCGAATTTCCCCATGGATCTACAGGAATCACAACATTTCCAATGTTTTGTTGCTGATCTCTCCTTCAACATAAATGCACCAAAGGGTGGACAAACTTTTTGTTAACAATAACTGTAAGAGACTGATGAGATTGTGATGTGGAGCATCCCGAGGTCATCCCCATGGACCTACCATCGTCTCACCAAGTGCCAAGAGGACCTATGACACGAGAACGAGTTAGAGCTCTCAAGAACGAGGTACTTCTTTCCTTAGTGATATCACATATGGTACACTCGAGACATGGCTACTACCTAAGTCTGGAATGTTGTGCATGATTAGGTACCAAGAGGACCCTCCCGAGAATGCATGTGAAGAAGGACAAGTCCCCAAGTTCACGGATGAAGAGAACCAACGGCAACAGTCAAGAACAGCTCCCAGGACCCGGACATCCGGCCATGACCCCAGACATCTGGCCCCTGGAGGTGTCGCCTGCAGCAAAGGATCAGTGGCCAAGTCTACAGGGCCCGGACATCCGGCGGCCAGCCAGGACATCCAGCCCGACGCCCTAGAATTCCGGCTCCCAGCCCGGATATCCGGACAAGTCATCTCGAAAGCAACAGAACCAGCCCCATTAGCCCGGACATCCGGCCTCGACCCCGGACATCCGGCCCCTTGCGAAGTCTCAGACATCCGGCGCGACGCCCGGACATCCGGACCAGCCCTATCTAGTGAGCATCATGACGGCACTAGGCCAGCCCGGGCATCCGGCACGACAGCCCGGACATCCGGCGTCTCGTGAACGCCCGGACATCCGGCC